GATCTAACCCATTTCTATTAATCTGTGTAGCTCACGAGCTGGCTTACCAGGAATGATCTTAACCTGTGTCTGTCCGGAGTGGGAGAATCATGGCGACTCCCTGACTCAGCTTCTTTCTCCCAGCATTCCGTTCTGTTTACTCCGCCTACCTAAGGGTTGGCCTATCAAATGGGTCTAGGCAGTTTCTTTATTAATAAGAAATCACTCCCACATCATTTCCCCTTTTTCTGTTTAAACAAAAAAGAAAGGCTTTAACTTTAACATAGTAAAATTACATATAGTAAAACAGTTATCAAGCAAGAATTACAGTTACAATATTTATATCTATTTTATCTTTTATCATAATTAAGGAAAACTATAACTATCTATTCATTCTTCAACTCCATCAAAGACTCCAGAAGGATATAATACTACCTAAGTAAACAAGAAATAAGAAAACTCTAGAAATGACAGAGACATCTTGCTGCCTGGACAGTCACCCAAAGTTTTTTTGTATGGTTGGGGCATCCATCTTCAGCCTTCAGTCCCATAGTATCCAGCAGACATTTCCATGAAGCAGGAAATTTCAAAGACAGTTCAGTCACTATCTGCTGTGTCCTGCAGAATGTCTCGCAGACTCTTTCATGAGTCATGAACCCCAAAAGACCGTCTCACCTTTAGGCAAGTTTAGCAGTCCTCTCTCTGCGGGTTCTCTGTGTCCATTTTATGCAACAGTCCAGGCAAGAGCAGTTTCTTGCCCAAATGGCTATCCAACTCCATAAGGATCCTCTTCGATGCCCATCTTCCTCTCGAAGTAGATTGGTGCTGCCAGGAGCAGACGTGTCTCATTGTCATGAAAAGTCCTAAGTTATTAAAATATTTTAAATGCCATATTCTGTAGCCTTTGAGAGATATGAAGAATGCCTATCTGAAATATATCTCTATATATTTAGAAAATCTAAGTAACATGACTACAAACTTGACTATTATGATTATCCATCAACAACCTATATTTCCTAATTATACATTACATTTTAAAAATGAACTACACAATCACACCTTATTCAAGATCAAAAATACATATACATATAACAAAATTGACCTTAAAATCCATACCAATGCAAATTATTCATACCTATATCATATCCCCCTTTAAATGTAAAAGAACATTTATAAACAATATTTTGGGAACATGGGTGCAGTTTTTTCTCTCCAAACTGTTTCCTGCTGAATGGGGGCGTCGTTAATTAGGTCTTTCATGGTATAACCTGTGTGCTAGTTTCATCTCAGTCTGCAGTTGAGCGAAGCAATTTTCTGAAGATGTTCACAACAACCTTTCAGGAGGGCGTGGTCTATCATACCAAATTGTAATAGAAGAAATCCACAGGGTCTGGTCCTCTGTGAAAACAAAAGAAGACCCTCTCCAAAGCATCATAGTCTTAGACCCAAATTCTGAAGTCATACCCTCATGATATCCGTTTTGGTTCCACTTGACAGCCCATAGAATGAAATGTCTCTCTGTACTTAGCTCCTTCACAGTCAAAAATTTTAAAGAAAACACAATGTACATAATCCAGACTCGCTGTGAATTTTCCATTTTTACATGGCTTATTTTTCTTTATTTCTTTTAATCTCTTAACTATCTGTACTCTGTCTCTTTAAAGACTTTACCTTTTTTTTTTAAACCATTAACTTTATTCTCTATAATCTTTTTCTTCTCTCTCTCAAGCCTATGTACATTCATCCAACAGTGTGGTCTTTTATGTCTGAATCTGTTTTATTGTGAATCTGTAACATTTTTTTACTATCCAGGAGCATTTCTTAAAATGTTAAGCAGTTCTTAAAAACTTAAGTTGTGTCATGTACAGGTAATATGGTACCGCCTGTGTTCTGCCCAGTTGAAACTTTAAATGTACTGTTTTTATGGTAATTACGGTAGTTCCTGCCTGAGACCAGCACAGTTCAGCATGGCAGAGCTGAGCCAAGCCGCTCCTGCCTCAGAGCCATTTGGTGCCCCTGAGCCACACACAGTTCCAGGTACACAGCAGTCCACATTGCCATCAAGCAAGCCATAGAGCTTTACTCCAAATGCTCCATTTAAAAGCTCTGTCTCCCACAGGAGCCAGACAGAGATCGCAATGGCGGCACAGCCCAGAAAGCCGGCATTTTAAAACAGCCAGTTTTTTCCTGCTGCTGAGTCAGGACAATTTCTTTGCGGCACGCAACCCACAAACAGCAAAAAGCTGTCTTAAATTCTCTCTCTCTCCTTTTTAAGCCCTCTCAGGTTTTATGTGGAGTTCATTAGCATGTTGGGCGCCACTCTGTTGTGTTACGAGCAGCAGGGCTGCGTCCCTGGCACGCGGCCGCCCGCATGGCTAGCTTTACCCGAAATAATTACACGGAAACTGTATTCTTTTAAACACTGCCTGACCCATTAGTTTCAGTTTCTTATTGGCTAGCTTTTACATATTGATCTAACCCATTTCTATTAATCTGTGTAGCTCACGAGCTGGCTTACCAGGAATGATCTTAACCTGTGTCTGTCCGGAGTGGGAGAATCATGGCGACTCCCTGACTCAGCTTCTTTCTCCCAGCATTCCGTTCTGTTTACTCCGCCTACCTAAGGGTTGGCCTATCAAATGGGTCTAGGCAGTTTCTTTATTAATAAGAAATCACTCCCACATCACTATTCACCCATTTTACTTCTATTTTCCTATTTATCTTTCCTTCATCCTTTTTTTTCCTTTCACTTACTGTCCACTTTTCCATCATCCTTCCATTTCTGAATCCCTCTACCTTTCCTTCCATATGGCCATTCATCTCTCTTATATCTAATCATCATTTCTTCCTTCAATTTTCCCACACATCCATCCATCTTTTCACCATTTATCCATTTATATATTCATTATTTAATTATTTTCTCTTCCTTTCATCCATATTATACTCTTTTTCTATGTACTCTTTCTGTCTACCTTTCGTTCACCTACCTAAGGAAACCATATTTTGAGCATCTTCCATGAAGGATAGCCCTGAGCCCAAGAGACTAAGTGATCCATAACACCAACAAGAAAAAAATAGTAATGGCAAAGGGCATCATCACTTGGACAAAGAGGCTATCTACAGAATGGAAATTTTTTTATAAACTACATATCTGATATAAGGCTAATATAAAAATTAAATGAAGATCTCAAAAACTATATCAAAACAGATATTTTCAAAAAAAGAAACATACATAGCTGAGAAGCATTTCAAAAAATGTTTAATATTTAGTCATCTGGAAAATGCAAATTAATGCTACTTTGAATTTCATCTTACATCAGCCAGACAACTTCAATAAAAAGAAATGGCAGCTCATGATGGAAGATGTAAGGGTTATTCTTTATATTCCTGGCGGGAGTGCAAACTTGTACAGCCACTATGGAAATCGGTGTGGTGATTATTCAAGAAGCTGTAACTATATCTATCTCAAAATCCAGGTATATCACTGAGGCATATAATCAAGGATATCTATACCCTACAACAGAGAAATTTACTTAATAATGTTCATTGCTGCTCATTTCATAACAGGCAGAAAATGAAAACAGCCGAGATGTCCATCAATGAATGAATGGATGAAGAAAATGTGGTACACGATAGAGTAGTACTCAGATGTCAAAAAAATTAAAGCATGAAATTCACAGATAAATGGATAGAAGCAGAAAAAGTCAGTCTCTTTTGTAGGTAATTTAAAAAATTTTTAATTTATTTTATTGAGCTATACAATTTTCTCTGTTCCCCTCCTTTACTCTCCCCTCCCCTTCAATCTTCTCCCATGATCCCCTTGCTCCTGATTTTCTGAAGAGATCGTTCCTTTGTCTACTTCCCGTGTAGATTAGATCCACGTATATCTCTCTTAGGGTCCTCATTGTTGTCTATGTTCTCTGTGATTGTGAACTGTAGGCTGGTTTTCTTTGCTATACGTGCAAAAGCCAGTTATTAGTGGGTACATATGATATTTGTATTTCGGGGCCTGGGTTACCTCACTCATTTTGATGTTTTCTAGATCCCTCCATTTGCCTTACAAATTTCAAGAGATCATTATTATTTTTCTGCTATGTGTTACTCCATTATGTAAATGTACCACATTTTCCATATCCATTCTTCAGTCGAGGGTCATTTAGGTTGTTTCCCGGTTCTGGCTATGACAAACAATGCTTCTATGAACATAGGAGGCACATGTGACCAAACGAAAGCGTACAGAATGGGAAAAGTTCTTTACCAACCCCACATCAGAGAGAGGGCTGACCTCAAAAATATACAAAGAACTTGAGAATTGATCATCAGAAAAACAAACAATACAGTAAAAATAAAATGAGGCAGAGACCTATACAGAGAACTCTCAACAGAGGAATCTAAAATGGCTGAAAGACAGTTCAGAAAATTTTCAACATCCTTAGCCATCAAAGAAATTCAAATCTAAACAACTCTGAAATTTCTTTATACCTGTAAGAACGGTCAAGATCAAAAACACTGATGACAACTTATGCTTCAGAAGATGTGAGGTAAAGGGAACATTCTTCAATTGCTGATGGGAGTGCAAAATGGTACAGCCCCTTTGAGTATCAGTATGTCAACTTCTCAGAAAATTAGGAAACAACCTTCCACAAGACCCAGCAATACCACTTTTGGGTGTATACCCAAAGGATGCTCAATCGTACCACAAAAAATTATTCTTAATGAGTCAAACCAGACCCTAAAAGACAAATACATTATATATTCACTTAAATTTGGTTGCTAGCTGTTAAGTCTTTGATAAGCAGGCTACAATCCATATACCTACTATTGTTAGGCATAAAGAAAGAGATTGGGGGAAGGATTGGATCATCTTTGGAAGGAGTAGATAGTTATGGATGAATAGGTGGTGGGGTTGAATTGGGTAGATTGAATGCAGAAAGGGAAGAAAATCGGTTGAGGGAGGAAATACATGGAAAGACAACTAAATCTAAGTTCCATTTGTTGGTTTATATGAAAATACAATACAAGTGCTAACTTCAGTAGCACATATACTAAAATTGGAAGAATATAGAGTAGATTGACATGGCCCCTGTGCAAGGATTACACACAAATTCATGAAGTATTTTGATCTAAATTAGCTCTTTTAGAAGGACTGGGTGAAAAAACAGTGTTTTCAGTTCAGGTTAAATTTTAACTTATTATAATATATATTTTAAAAGATATATTAACTGTGTGTGGTGGGTGTGTAATACTATTTTTAAAAAGTAAAACTGATTGAAGATTAGGAATTGATATCTTCTCTCCCAGCAGTTGTATGAGACATCAATTTAATAATTAAACCCAGGCCACACTAAACTATATAACTGAGCCATGATTTCATATTGTATTTATACTGTATTATTTTACAAACTTTTCATTTTATTTTTTAGATATCTTACCATTACACTTTGCATAAAGATCATTTTAATTATATAGTCAGTTATCATAGGGTCCAGCAAAGATTCCTAGTATTATTTTGTCCAAATGATTTTAAGACATAGTACCATCAAAACATTGAAGTGTTTGTAGCAACTTGAGAGTTTCACTATACCATAGAAGCTCATTAGGAATTTGCTACTTACTTCAGCAAAAGCTGTATTGGGCTCCAACTCTTGATCCAATTACCTCAGTTCCTCACATGATTTTATGACATGTGTGTGACAACATGCTCTGAGCATAGCCACATTTTGAAAAAGCATTTAGTTGTTCTCATTGCTGCAGAGAAAGGAGCTCCACTCTGACTGACCCCATTGCCTTTTTCAAACAAAGCCTTTAGTGGCAATAATTTCACAGGTTCTCCAAAGAAGTGTGTGTGCAGGAGTGTGTCACTGGGCCTGAAAGCACCGTGCTAGCTTTTGTCTTTATTGCTATTTCAGTCACAATTCTCATCTATGAAGATCATTACTATCACATTTGCTAGGACCTCCTGACATTGGTGTCTATGTTATTTTAGGAAGATAATTTTGACCCCAGTAGGGTAGCTCATCTGGGCAGACAGAAGCAGTAATAGATGAAAAAGAAACAGGAAGGGAAAAGAGCCACTCCTGTCCATTGTGTGAGCAACTAGTGCTCTGATCAATTTTAGCATAGCCATTGTGCTGGCTCAGAAATGTATTCTTATGTATTCAGTGCCGCACTCTGGCAACAGATTGTCAGCTGCTTCCACAATTCTTTTGAACAACAGCTCATAATGAGATGGTAGGTAGGAAATATCAAGTAAGAAATGATGTAGACCGCATACGAGAGACAGAACAAATGCTGTGGTGGAGGAATGGAGAAAACATCCATATTTGAGAAATATTTTTAAATTAGAAAATAATCAAATGTTAAAAAGAGAATGAAGGAACAAGACAGTACTACATCTCTGAACACGGAAGGTGGACTGAGTGATAGATGCCCGTATTCTAGCTGAGAGGAAACTGTTAGCAGACTGGATAGAGAAGAAACAAGTTATGTTTTAACACTGGATATTCATAAAGTAAGAATATGTTGAGTAAGGCTTAGAAAAGATAGAATATGGGTTAATATGTAAATGACACTTGGGTATTTTATTTGTACAAAAGGTTCAGTGATCTTGGACTTTATTATAAGTAACTATAAAAAATATGCTCATCTATAGTAAGTTCTCCGTTCTCCAGGTATTTTAACCAGATCCTGTCTATTCTGTCTTTAAATAATAGTATTGTTTCTGTTCTTCTCTCAAAGTCAGTCCTGAGATATTCCTGATTCTTCTATTTCTTTGATCTCAAAAACCTTTACTTACTTTGATTAAGAAAGAGTCTCAAGATTTCATCTCAAGTCTTCTATTTTAGCTATTGTCCACTTGTGTCATAATCAGAGGTGAACCCTACACTCCTGTGAAAATCTAATATTGTTTTTCATTTCGGTCTCAACTAATGCATTTTAAAATCAGGGTATGTTTGTTAGAAAAGTTGTGTAGTTTTTACCACAATAATACTGACAGAGGATACTGACAGGATAGATTGCCCAGCGTGTAAGAGTCCATAGTGCTCATACAGACAATTCGAGTTTTGTTCTCACTACACACATTGAGTGGCTCAAAATCACCTGTAAGTTCAGCTCCACATAAATTTGATGCCTCTAGCCTCTGAGAGCACCTCCGTACAGGTGTGCATACCCACTCACATACACACAAACTCATGCATACAGTTAAATAATAAAACTTTCTTTAAAAATATTGGACTCTCTGAACATGGTGAACAATGAGGGCTGATGAGAAGCCAAGGACAATGGCAAGGGGTTTTGATCCTACTTCATGTTCTGGCTTTGTGGGAGCCTAGCCAGGTTGGATGTTCACCTTCCTAGACATGGACGGAGAGGGGAGGACCTTGGACTTTCCACAGGGCAGGGAACCCTGACTGCTCTTTGGACTGGAGAGGGAGGGGGAGAGGAGTGGGGGCAGGGAGAGAAGGGTGGGAGGAGGGGGAGGGGAATGGGAGGAGGGGGAAATTTTTTTTTTCCTTTTCTCAATAAAAAAAAAAAAAAGAAGTCAGTAAAAAAAAAAAAAAATCTAACTCCAGAGATACCTTCAGAAGCCTGTGAGCTCACAGGAGGTTTGGAACGCTGCTCCACTGGCTCGTCACCTGCTCATTGCCCATCATGCCTGCGGCTGGCAATAATAACATTTAAGGTTTTAAAAGGTAAAAGTCCAAAAGCAGAGGAAGGGGCTTGCTCCCCCAGAGAAGGCTGGGGAAGTAGCAAGGCTACGTATCAGCTACTGCAGCCTTAAAACAAAGCCGGTGTCTCTATGGACTGTAAAATTGTTCCTATGCAGCTTATTTTATTTTTGTTTAATCAAATAAAGAGGGTCTTCCTGTGGGAAAAAAAATATATCTAACTCCATGTAATTCATTCATCAAATTGTATATACTTTCATCAAGGTATATAAACTTTGGGTCAGGCTAATTTGGATGTGCAATGTTTCTCTTTATTTGAAAACTTTTTTGTAATAAAGTTTAAAAACTTAGCAGGATGACAAAGCAACTTGAAGTTCAGATGTATGAGAAGGGTTAAGGAAAGAAAAGGGAGACATAGGGGCACAGGCGTCAGAAAAAGATTACTGTGTGGCGCTTTTCAGTGGGCATCAGAGACAGTCGTATGGAAGAGGTAATCATTTCCACTTCCCTGGAGGCAGACATGCAAAGAGCCACAGAAGTGATAGGAAAAAAAAATGTTTTACCTTTTGTGCTAAGCCCACACTCAATTAGCTTCTCATTTGCAGATACTGGAGGTGTATACAACAAAATGGGTGCTCACCCAGGCAAGGTATTTTGAAAGGAATTCTACAGTGAGGGAGTGCTAGGCTGGAAGAAAAGCCCAGGAAATGGGGAGTCCTGTGATTCTCAGAAATCAATTTCCTTTAGAAAGTTGTCATGATTTCCTGATGGATATGTTTATGCTTTTCTTTCCCAGACACCTTAAGAAGAGAGAGTTTTTGAGCCAGTCACAGCAAATAAGAAATATTTATTGACTCCTTGGCTATGGAGTTCTGGTCAGTACCCATCCATGATAACTGAGAATGTGTGCTTTCCAGTTTGGTATGCACAGAACTCATTAGTTTTAAATTTAGATGCAAGCTTTTGTGCTGGAGGGAATCCAAGTTTGACTAATACATCTGACAAAATCCCTCTTAGGAAGAAAACTATAATGAAGAATTCTATTTTCTACTTTGGCCTGAGCTTGGTGGAGAAGAATAGAACACATACTCTTTTCATCACCTAAGTCTATTTTGTTTAAAATTATTCATAGGTTTGTTATTCTAAGGCTAACTCCACAGTAGGAATGCAGGTGATGATTTCAGGACCACAGGAAAAAGGTTCTGACAGGGCAGGGAAGAATCAGTTCACAAATTCTCAGACCATCCTTGGGTCAAATTAGATGCCAACATTTTTCCAGGTAAGCTCCCGGCAACGAACGAGACAGTGCCTAGTGGCACAATGTCATTTTGTTTGAACACATCCTTATTGAATACCTGCTAGGTTCAGGAATGAGTAAACAGAGATAAATAGAATGCTTTTTTGAAGGCCTCGTCTGAAGGAACTTGGTCTTGGCAGGCAGACAAATTGAAAAGTACAAAGCACTGTTTTTTTTCCAAAGCTTGCTATTTAGTCCAAAAATTTCCTTGCTCTCTTAATAACAGTTTCAGACAGTTAAAAGTCCCCTAAACGTCACTTAAAATCAGCATGTTGCTTTAAATAATACAGTTCCATGTAAAGTCAAGCAATTCCGTTTATTCCCTCTCCAAGTTAAAATAACAGAGGAAAACGATGTTTATTTTATGCACTACAATTAACAGTAAGTTATATTAAATATACATTTCTAATGGTTCAATATACTTGGAATATTAATTTTTGTTTTCTTCCTATTAATCAAACAGGTGATTTCCAAGCCTTAACAATGTCCTTGTCTCAATCTGATTCTCTTTTCATTCCAGGCCCCTCAGAGGGCAAATCAGGGAAAATGGTGTGGCCGTTAAGATATGGCTAATCCTCCAGCCTGTGTGTCTATGTGTGTTTTTTCATATATGTACACTTGTTCTTGTATGTGCTTCTTCTTGTGTGCGCCTCTGTGTGTGTAAGCATGAAGACCAGAGAACAGGGTGGATCTTGTCGATAGGTATTTACTACATAGCCCTCATCACCTCAGTTTCAAACTGGTTTTTCAACCTGGAAGGAGACCCCTGTCAGAAGTCCCCATTCCCTGGTGGCTCTGATGCCCCCTCCTTAGTTGTTTTATATGCCTATGAACTCACTTAGCCTGAGACCCTATACTTACACTAAGACCCTACAATGGGAAGCCTCTCTGGCTTCTTGTCTCAGGTGCTCACTCACCAGGAAGCAAGTGTCACATTTGTTTTGACTTTTGGCTTCTGGTCTTCAAGGAATTTTTTAGAAACAAAGCCGTGAACATTGCTGATGGTGGTGAGGAGGCCTCTTTTCCACTGCAGCACCTCTGTTCTCTTCCTTAACCACCCTACCCACCATCCAGAGGGAAACAGTCTGAGCATTTGTCTTTCGTGATGTTTTGCTTTTGGATTGGGAATTGTCTGACAACAGGAGACTATAGTTCCAGGTG